AGTCATCCTTTGCATCCGAGTCCTGACCGAACTGATCAGGATCTTAAGCTCGAGCTGTCTGAGCACATAGGAGCTGCCCCAGAGCAAATCGACAGGGAAACATGCCAGGAGGACGCGCCGCGGAACGTCCGAATGGGACGCGCCAAACGACGTGCCAGGGGACGTGCCAGGGGACGTGCCTTGGGGACGTGCCATGGGGACGCACCGCAGGACGTGCCAAGGGGACGCGCTACGGAACGTGCCAATGGAAGTGCCACGGGACGTGCCAGGGGGACGCGCCGCGCGACGTGCCATGGGGGACTCACCACGGGACGTGCCACGGAACGTGCCAGGGACCGTGCCAGGGCCACGGCCCCTCGTAAACTACGCTGCGTCCACGCTCCCAGGGCTACGCTCCCTCGTGAATTACGCTGCGTCCGCGCTCCCAGGGCCACGTTCCTTAGTAAATTACGCTGCGTTCGGACTCCCAGAACCACCTGGGCATCCTGGGGTGCCCAGGCCGCTCGAGTTCTGCAAAACAAGCATTTCGCTCGAGACATCCTAGAACAACTCGCTCGAGAAATAAACATGATGGACCCACGAACCCGGAAAGGGATAAAGACATGTGCAGCATGGTCACGTTTTCACGATACCCAACTGGGCGACATCTCACGAAACATCCCACGAGACACCCCGCGAAACATCCCACGAGACACCTCACGAAACATTCCACGAGACACCTCACGAAACATTCCACGAGACACCCCGTGAAACATTCCACGAGACACCCCACGAACAGGCAACCACTCAACCAGACACGCCACGAAACATTCCACGGGGGTGCGACTGGGTGTGGTCGTGCTGGGGTGTGGTCGTGCTGGGGTGTGGTCGTGCTGGGGAGTGGTCGTGCTGGGGTGTGGTCGTGCTGGGGGGTGGTCGTGCTGGGGGGTGGTCGTGCTGGGGGGGTGGTCGTGCTGGGGGGTGGTCGTGCTGGGGCGTGGTCGTGCTGGGGCGTGGTCGTGCTGGGGCGTGGTCGTGCTGGGGTGTGGTCGTGCTGTGGTGAGGTCGTGCTGGGGTGTGGTCGTGCTGGGGTGTGGTCTTGCTGGGGTAGGGTCGTGCTGGGGTCGGGTCGTGCTGGGGTGTGGTCGTGCTGGGGTATGGTCGTGCTGGGGTGGGGTCGTGCTGGGGTGGGGTCGTGCTGGGGTCTGGTCGTGCTGGGGTGTGGTCGTGCTGGGGTATGGTCGTGCTAGGGTGGGGTCGTGCATTTCGCTCGAGACATCCTGCCAAAATTCAAGGAAATCGTACAAAAACAAACGAATTAGTCGAGACATCATCGAAATTCCTTCGCGCGGGGCGCTTTTCCGCGTCGCGGTCGGCTCTGCAAAACAAGCGTTTCGCTCGAGACATCCTCGGCAAACTCTGCGGAGCAAGCGTTTCGCTCGAGACATCCTCAACACACGAAAAAGTGGCCCGCACCCTGTGATTTATCGATCGGGATTTCAAAAACAAGCGTTTCGCTCGAGACATCCTCAAAAATAATTTCGCCGGCCTCCTTCGACCTCGATATTTATCAAGGAAAAATTTCGCCGGCCTCCTTCAAGTTGGGCACCGGGGACATGTTTACATACTAAAAGAGAACCCTGGGCCCCCGCCCTTTCCGGGAAAATCCTCAAGGTCTGGGCACGTGAAAACAAGCATTTCACCTGAGACAGCCTCTGAATTCTGGTCGCCAGGAGAGGAACGATCTGCAACACAAAACAAGCGTTTCGCTCGAGACATCCTCAACAAATTCTGAAAACCAGCGTTTCGTTCGAGACGTCCTCAAAATTCAATTCCGCCGGCCCTGAGCGACCTCGTTATTTATCGCAAAATAATTCCGCCGGCCCTACAGCCGTCGATTCCGAGGGTAAACGACTAAAAGAGAACCCTGGGCCCCCGCCCTTTCCGGGAAACATGATGGACCCACGAACCCGGAAAGGGATATAGACATGTGGAGCATGGACACGTTTTCATGATACCCAACTGGGCAACACCTCACGAAACATCCCACGAGACACCTCACGAAACAGCCCACGAGACACCTCACGAAACATTCCACGAGACACCTCACGAAACATTTCACGAGACACCCCGCGAAACATTCCACGAGACACCCCACGAAACATTCCACGACGACAGGCAACCACTCAACCAAGGCGGTGTGGTCGTGCTGGGGAGTGGTCGTGCTGGGGTGTGGTCGTGCTGGGGGGTGTCGTGCTGGGGGGTGGTCGTGCTGGGGGGTGGTCGTGCTGGGGGGTGGTCGTGCTGGGGCGTGGTCGTGCTGGGGCGTGGTCGTGCTGGGGCGTGGTCGTGCTGGGGCGTGGTCGTGCTGGGGCGTGGTCGTGCTGGGGTGTGGTCGTGCTGTGGTAAGGTCGTGCTGGGGTGCGGTCGTGCTGGGGTGTGGTCTTGCTGGGGTGGGGTCGTGCTGGGGTGTGATCGTGCTGGGGTGGGGTCGTGCTGGGGTGTGGTCGTGCTGGGGTGTGGTCGTGCTAGGGTGGGGTCGTGCTGGGGTGCATGCTGGGGCGTGGTCGTGCTGGGGTGGGGTCGTGCTGGGGTGGGGTCGTGCTGGGGTGGGTTCGTGCTGGGGTGCTCCGCACCCTGTGATTTATCGATCTGGGTCGTGCTGGGGTGTGGTCGTGCTGGGGTGTGGTCGTGCTGGGGTGTGGTCGTGCTGGGGAGTGGTCGTGCTGGGGTGTGGTCGTGCTGGGGGGTGGTCGTGCGTGCTGGGGTGTGGTCGTGCTGGGGGGTGGTCGTGCTGGGGCGTGGTCGTGCTGGGGCGTGGTCGTGCTGGGGCGTGGTCGTGCTGGGGTGGGGTCGTGCTGGGGTGTGGTCGTGCTGGGGTGTGGTCGTGCTGGGGTGTGGTCTTGCTGGGGTAGGGTCGTGCTGGGGTCGGGTCGTGCTGGGGTGTGGTCGTGCTGGGGTATGGTCGTGCTGGGGTGGGGTCGTGCTGGGGTGGGGTCGTGCTGGGGTCTGGTCGTGCTGGGGTGTGGTCGTGCTGGGGTATGGTCGTGCTAGGGTGGGGTCGTGCATTTCGCTCGAGACATCCTGCCAAAATTCCAGGAAATCGTACAAAAACAAAGGAATTAGTCGAGACATCATCGAAATTCCTTCGCGCGGGGCGCTTTTCCGCGTCGCGGTCGGCTCTGCAAAACAAGCGTTTCGCTCGAGACATCCTCGGCAAACTCTGCGGAGCAAGCGTTTCGCTCGAGACATCCTCAACACACGAAAAAGTGGCCCGCACCCTGTGATTTATCGATCGGGATTTCAAAAACAAGCGTTTCGCTCGAGACATCCTCAAATTTTAATTCGCCGGCCTCCTTCGACCTCGTTATTTATCAGGGAAAAAATTCGCCGGCCTCCCTCAAGCAGGCACCGGGGGATTAGGTTTACCAACTAAAAGAGAACCCTGGGCCCACGCCCTTTCCGGGAAAAAGAGAACCATGGGCTCGCTCCCTTTCCGGGAAAACCAACGCTTCGCTCGGGACATCCTCAAATTTTAATCCGCCTGCCCCCTTCAACCTCGTTATTCATCAAGAGAAAACCTGATCGGACAAGAACAGGAAGCGCCGCTGTAGTCTAATGGGCGAATTGGGCGACGAAGAGGACGACGTGGCGAACGTGAGGATAGCGAGGAGGAGCATGAGGACAACGAGGAGGAAGAGAAGCACAAGGACGAGGACGAAGAGAACGAGGGCGAGTACGAGGAGGAATGCGGAGGGCGATGACGACGACGACGACGACAGAGGACAGTAAGAGGCAATTGGAGAAAGAGGTTGCTCCTGGCGCCGCGCGGGGTTGTCTTGGGGCCTGTTGGGCTTCTTGGGGGCCCCTTGGGTCCTCTTGTGGGCTTCTGGAGTCTTCTTGGGCTGTCTGGGCGCGTCGTGGGGTTCTGTGGGAGCTTTCTTAGGCCGTCTCGGCGCCATCTTGGGCCGTCTTGCGGCTTTCTTGGGCTGTTTGGGGGCCTCCTGGTGCGCTCCTGGGAGTCTCTTGGGGCCTTCTTGGCCCTTCTCGGGCCGTCTTGGGGTTGTGAGCTGTCTGGGTGGCTCCTAGAGCGCTCTTAGGGGTCTCTTGGGGTCTTCTTGGGGCGCTCTCGGACGCTCCTGGGCGCTCTTGGGCGCTCCTGGGGCTCTCCGGGGCGTCTTTTGGGCCTCCCGTGGGCCGTTGGAAGGCCCTCCAAGAGCGATTCGAACACGACGTCGATTCGGAGTCCCCTCTTGGGACGATGTTTGGAGGATATCTCGAGCGAAACCGCTTTTTTCGAAAATCCGCCAGCGTGGTTTCAAAGTGCGCCCCGTACCCCAGCATTAATTTCTACCACCAACAAACGGTCCACGCCAAGGGCGCTTCCCGTCATCTGCCGGCCCTCTTCGAGCTTGGCACCGGGCACAAGTTACCACACCAAAAGAGAACTCTGGTCCGACGCCCTTGCCAGGAAGATACATGGCTTCAGCCCATTTGCAAAAGGAGCGAGTCTAAAAGAACGTGGGGCCAGCTCACGGGCGACAGGAACCCATGTAACAGCACCATGGTTTCAGCTCACGGGCGCGAGGGACCCGTGTAAAACACGCGACGAATTCGTGCTCACGGGCGCTCGGAACACATGCAAAACACGTGCGAACTCAAAGACGAAAGAAACCCACGTACCAACAGAGAGTGTTAGCTCTCATGGGCCAAGGGAACCCATGAACACATCACCAATTCCTGTGGAAAAGAGGGATGGGGGGATAATGACTCCTCGTCTTATGTTGCTCCCATCGTACTTAAGGACCACATCCCAGAAATATTTCGAGCACCCGGAAAAGCGTCGAAAGAGTGTCGAAAGAGTGTCGAAACGGTGTCGGACGAGTGTCTCCCAGGGCCCGACACGTGAAAACCCTCGAGCTTCGGTACTCTCCTGGTGCTCGAAATTCTTTCTCGCGATGGCTGGGGCATCGTCGTCCTCGTCCTCCCTCCTCCTGCGAGGAACAGGCACGAGCACGGGCCTGGGTCGGACGCCCCCCAATGGTGAACCAGCTGTTCCTGCCGCCGTACTTGACGCCGGTGCTCCGCGCCTCGCGGCGGCGGGCGGCGGCGCGAAGGGAAGCCGCAGGGAGGCCGCGCCGCCGCCGCCGTCCGTCGTCGCCGCCGCCGTCGGTCGTCGTCGCCGTCCGTCGTCGCCGTCGCTCGCCGCCGAGTCGGGGGTCTGGGAGCACGCGCGCCAGCACGGGCACAGGCCCGCAAGGGGGCGCGCCGAGCCGCGGCCACGCACGACGCACCCCTCGGGCTCCGCCCGCGACGGGGGGGGGCCTTTCTGTCGGGCTGCTTCGCTGGGTGGCGACCTCCCCCACGGTCGGAGCGAGGTACAAGATCGAGGTCGGCTCGGGGAGGGCACCCTAATGTTCTTCGTGCTTGTTGGATGTTCGTGTGCATCCTGGGGAAGGGTGCCCTCGAGTGCTCTTGTGGTTTGGGCTGTTTCGGCCGGCGGAGGGTCTCATGTTCTTGAAGGATGTCATTATGTCCTTGGCCCGGATGTACCCCCACCAGCCATCGGTTCTCCTGAATGGATGGCTCGGACTTCGCCACGTGCTCGACGAATTCCGAACCCTACCCTCGCCGCCCATCGAGTTGCCCGAATCGTTGATCGGCGAGGGCAGCGTCGAAGTGCTATCAGAAGGAACGCTACGGCAGGTTCGTGTCGTGCCGACTTCGGCGTTGGTTGCTGGCACCGCGGGGATCGTTCAACCTTGAACGATGAGCCGTTCCCGAAACCTCAGATCACTCAACATCGACCGATGCTGGGTCGCCGGCGGGCTTCAACGTTGAACGCCGGCGGCGGGAGCGCCGCCGCTCGACACGACGCGAACCTTCCGCACAAACAAGGAACGAGGGGGCTCTTGGGGCCGCGATGGCCCTGGGCCACGAACGGATCCCGCGGCATCAATCTCGGGAGCGACCCGAAATCCCGAGCCCCTTCCTAACCCAAAGCGGTCCTTGTTTTCGGGGGCGCGCAAACATGGATCGGGGGAGGTGCACTCCCCAAAATGCGGCCGGTGCCGCCTCGTCCGGCGGCGGAAATCCGCGATTTCCCATGGAAACGAGACCCGTCGCTAATCCACGCCCCCTTGATCCATGTATGCGATCGCCTGATATTTTGGCGGCGCGCACAAGGGGGGTAAGGGGGAGAGGCGGGAAGGCTTCTTAGAGGGAGGCTGCTCCTTAGAAGGCGCCGGCCCTTCCATCTGGGGACAAGGCCCGCGCCTTCCGAGAAGCAGGGATGCTTCTGAGAAGCCTCCCCCCCGCCCCCATACCCCCCCTGCGCGTGGCTGGTGATCTCGGCGTCTCGACTGTGGGGTTCGGAGCTCACTGCCGCTTCGTGGCAGGGGGGGCCAGCGGCAGTGCCAACCTGCCCAGGCTTCGGGGGGGACTGTGGCCTTCCGGTCCTCCGCCTCGGCCCCTGGGGGCCCCCCTCGGGCCCAGGGGACCGTCGCAGCAGTGGGCCGAGGAGCGCACCGAGACTGGTGGGGTCCGCCTCGAGGACCGCCTCGAGGTCCGCCTCGACGCCTTCCTCGGAGCTTCTTTCGGGCCCCAGGGAACGCGCCGCGACCAGTGGGGTCCGCCGCGAGGTCCGCCCCGAGGCAGGCCCGTGGCCCCCTTAGGTGGTCGGCCTTGCGACCCTCTGGCTCCAGGGGGTCGAGCTGCCCTCCAGGAGCGCGTCGAGACTGGTGGGGTCAGCAGGTCGGAATGGCCGACCCGTCGGAGGTCTGAGTACGCACCAGGCCAGAACTCTGGATGGGCTCCGAGTAGATGGTGTCGGAGGGTCGCGCCGCATTGGCGATGCACCGGCGACGCCGGCGATGCATCGGCGATGCACCGGCGGTACATCGGCGCCATCGACGTGGAGAAAATCGGGCTCCACATCCAGCCGCATCGCCGCTGCGTCGGCGATGCGGCGCGATCCTCCGCCCCCATCTACCCCATCTAGAAGGGTTAGAGTGCTTCGAGGACAGCACTGTCGTGTGCAGTGCGCTGCAGAGCGACGCGGCGCAACGTACAGCTCTGCAGCGCGGTGTAGCCACGCGCGGAGCAAGCCAGAGCACTACAGAGCAGGGCAAATCTGGGCGAAGCGGCAATACACCGAACCGTCCTGGGCAAGTGGCGGACAACTCAAACAACGGGTGATGCATGGGGGACTGTTTTTTTGTTGGGGGGGCCAGGGCACGACGCAATGGGTCAGGAAGCTGTCCTCCTAAGCTCGCGCTGCGGCCGCTGGGGGACGTCCACAAATTCACCCAAACGGAGCCTGGCCATGCCGACCCTGCCCATGCTTGGTCTGGCCAGGTCTGGTGCATGCACAGTGCATGCACGCTGTTTTAAAAATATTGTTTTGACTTTTCCGTTTTCTTGCTGGGACCTCAAAACGCCAAAAGCATGACTTCCAACACGCCGAATTAACAACGGTATTAAAACATGATGGACCCACGAACCCGGAAAGGGATATAGACATGTGGAGCATGGACACGTTTTCATGATACCCAACTGGGCAACACCTCACGAAACATCCCACGAGACACCTCACGAAACAGCCCACGAGACACCTCACGAAACATTCCACGAGACACCTCACGAAACATTTCACGAGACACCCCGCGAAACATTCCACGAGACACCCCACGAAACATTCCACGACGACAGGCAACCACTCAACCAAGGCGGTGTGGTCGTGCTGGGGAGTGGTCGTGCTGGGGTGTGGTCGTGCTGGGGGGTGGTCGTGCTGGGGGGTGGTCGTGCTGGGGGGGTGGTCGTGCTGGGGGTGGTCGTGCTGGGGCGTGGTCGTGCTGGGGCGTGGTCGTGCTGGGGCGTGGTCGTGCTGGGGTGGTGGTCGTGCTGTGGTGAGGTCGTGCTGGGGTGTGGTCGTGCTGGGGTGTGGTCTTGCTGGGGTGGGGTCGTGCTGGGGTGGTCGTGCTGGGGTCGTGCTGGGGGTGGTCGTGCTGGGGTGTGTGCTCGTGCTGGGGGGTGGGTGGTGCGTGCTGGGGGTGGTCGTGCTGGGAGCTGGGGTGGTGGTGCGTGCTGGGGCGTGGTCGTGCTGGGGCGTGGTCGTGCTGTGGTGAGGTCGTGCTGGGGTGTGGTCGTGCTGGGGTGTGGTCTTGCTGGGGTAGGGTCGTGCTGGGGTCGGGTCGTGCTGGGTGTGGTCGTGCTGGGGTATGGTCGTGCTGGGGTGGGGTCGTGCTGGGGTGGGTCGTGCTGGGGTGTGGTCGTGCTGGGGTGTGGTCTTGCTGGGGTAGGGTCGTGCTGGGGCGTGGTCGTGCTGGGGCGTGGTCGTGCTGGGGCGTGGTCGTGCTGGGGTGTGGTCGTGCTGTGGTGAGGTCGTGCTGGGGTGTGGTCGTGCTGGGGTGTGGTGAGGTCGGGATTTCAAAAACAAGCGTTTCGCTCGAGACATCCTCAAATTTTAATTCGCCGGCCTCAAAAACAAGCGTTTCGCTCGAGACATCCTCAAATTTTAATTCGCGGGCGCTCAAAAACAAGCGTTTCGCTCGAGACATCCTCAAATTTTAATTCTCGGGCTCGTTATTTATCAGGGAAAAATTCGCCGGCCTCCTTCGACCTCGTTATTTATCAGGGAAAAAATTCGCCGGCCTCCTTCAAGCAGGCACCGGGGGACTAGGTTTACCTACTAAAAGAGAACCCTGGGCCGGAGCCCTTTCCGGGAAAAAAGAAAAGACGCCCTGGGCACATTTACGAATAGTAGCCAAGCATGCACGTATCGAGACACCCGACGTCCTGTCTTCTCAGCCCGTGCCGCACATCCAGCACATCCAGCACACCCAATCCCCCTATTCCTCACGGACTTTGCGCCGTCGGCGGCCCTGTGGACCCATGGAAGCATGCTCCACGGCGACGGTGACGGCGGCGGCGGACGTGGGAACAAGAAAAACGACACCACCAGCAGCAGCGCAAGGAGCCAGGGAGGGTCCTCCCGGCAGTGTGGTCCCCCCCCTCCCCGCTCGAGGCGTTCCCCGTCCCAAACCCGAGGCGACAGCGTGGACCTCCTCGCTGAAAAAGGTGACACTCCTGGTGGCGGCGGTGGCGCCTCTCTCTCTCTCTCTCTCCCCTCCGAGGGCGGCGGCGACGACGGGCGGCGACGGCGACGACGGGCGGCGGCGGCGGCGACGGGCGGCGGCGGGGAGGGCGGCGCGGCCCCACCTCGTAGGGCAGCAGCGCCTCGTGGCGGATCGACACCCTGACGCCCTGTAGGGAGGTGCGGGGGGCTGGGTCGGCGGCGAGCGAGGGGGGGGGGGGAATCGAGGAGGAGGAGGCCTCCTCGGGAAGCGGCGGGGCTTCTCAGTGAGGCCGGAGGCCCTCCGAGGAGCTGCCGGCGCCCTCGAGAGCTTGGAAAACTTCTCAAAGGCCGGGGGGGCCTCCGAGCCTTCAGAGAAGGCCTGGCCCCTTCTCGCCTCCCCCCCCCCCCCCCCCCGCCCCCGCCGCCGGAGTGGGGGCTGGCCGCCGACTGGTCGGGTGCACGCCACAGCATGGTTGGCGATCCGTGGACCTGGCGCGTGGGCGCCAGATCCACGGACCGGGGAAGGCATCCCCGAAGCGCGAGGCCAATGTCGCCCGATTCGGCGACGGAGAGCGCCAACTCTGCAATCACGGAAAAGGGGCCCGTCGCTCATCCACGCACCTCGATCCATGCTTGGGCGGCGCGCAGAGGGGGGCAGGCGAGAGGGGGGGGAAGGCGCTCCTCAGAAGGAGGCTGCTTCTTAGAGGCCGCCGGCCTCGCATCTATAGAGAGGGCCCGCGCCGTCTAAGAAGCAGGGGTGCCTCTAAGAGGGCGTCCCCCTGCCCCCTACCCCCCTCTGCGCGTGGCCGAGTGTTTGCGGTTCCTCGAGACCGGCCGCAGCCTGCCGAGGGGGGAGCAGAGGAACTGGCCGGTCGAGCGCGCGCGCGCCCCCCCCCCCACGCGGGCAGGCCGCAGGCCCTCTCCTGCGCGAAGGAGGGGGGCCGCGCACTCCGCCAACCCCCCACACACTATCATGGCGGAGCCCAGAGCTGGTGAGGGGCAGCGATCGGGGGGACTGGCACAGGGGGGAAAACATCGACCTGGAATCGGCGACACATCGCCGATGGATCGGCGATAGGCCCCCGATAGCGAATCCGCACCTTCCTGGGCGGGGTGGGGCCGTCGGGCCCCTATCGGCGACGAATGGCTGATTGGGGGTCGATGCGTCCCCCCCCATGCCTGTTCCCCCCCGATCGCTGCCCCTGAAAGCGCGATCGGGCGCTATGAAGTTCGATCTGGCTGCCAGGAGGGGGGGCGCAGATTATGGCCCGAGGCATGTGCACGGACCAGGGGCGTGTGGGGACTAGGGAGCGTAGTAGAATAAGAGGAGGGCCATTAATTAAGTCTGGGGAGATATCATTGCCCTGGCCTATATCCACCCCCCGTAGTCATCACCGTCCCCTTGGCCGCCCCTGGCAATTGAGCCGAATTGTAAGAGGCTGGGTTATGCCTGGGACTAAATAGAATCAAACCAAATTTGAACGAGATTATGCCAAATCAGGCCAACTCTCGATCACGGCTATACCAGCGCCGATTCTGAATTTGATCTTGCATCCTAGCAGAGAAGGTAGGAAGGTTAGCGACATGAGGCCACAGGCCAGGAAAGTCAGCTCTTGGGAGGTCCTCATCCTGCCTCTGGCTGGCCCTCGGATCACAGCTCGGGCCCGCAGCTGATGGGAACAACCCCTGGGGCCCGAAAACCATGAGGAACGCCAGAGGCCTCCGAATACCTCTCCCTCCAGCTCCAATTCCATCCCCAACTCCTCATCCGCTTGGGAGCGTCAGCGGCGACAGCAAACGACCTAGTGTAGGTCACCGAATGTGTAGTTTCGCGCCGTCCTGTCGCGACGTGCGGCTCTCTTCGTATCGTCGCGCCAGCCGGCAATAGAAAAGGGCGGCTACCCAGCCCAGGCCGCGAAACGCAAATACCTCCTCTAGTTCCTCTCTAGTTCCTGAAAAGAGGCGGTCCGCTCCGCAAACCAGCCACGTCCCTTAAATCGGGATCGAAAACTCACCAGGAGAAAACCCACGGCCCGCCAGGAGAAGAAAGAGAGACCTGGCGCGGGCGAGGGTCCCTGGGATTTAGACTACCACCGCCGCCCTAGACACTGGAAAGGGGTCCCAGTAGTAGTTTCCACTCTGGGGCTCACGTCCCCCTCGGAGCCTGTCGAGGGCCTTGCGCGCGAGCCTTGCCGCATCGCGGCTCTTCCTGGCCGGGGGAACACACCAGTCCGTCAGGAGATGGGCCTCTCTGCGCAGCGCTTCCTCAACGGCGCAGGCAGAAGTTACCGAGGACAGAAGGAAAGACATGATCGGCCCACGAAGAACTGCGAGGCATGGAATCGTTCCCAAGCGCCTCATTTGGGCGATGGGCAGTGGCAATGCTGAAGGCATCGACGGTGATCATACCGTGCCAGGGACTATGTTGTGCTGCGTTGCGCTGCGCTGCGCCGCGCCGCGCAATGAAGTGCCAGGGGACGCGCCAAGGACCGTGCCAGGGGACGCCACCCACCACCCACCACCTAGCCGCCGCGAGCACGCAAGCAATTGCCAACGATGAAACAGCACTGACAACATGAACTGGCGGGACGGGTGAAGCGATTGAATCCGCCGACTCCCGCTTGCAAGGGGTGAAGAAGCGTGTGGGATGATTGGCTGTCACCACTCCCCTTTCCCCCCCCCAATGCATATGGGATCGGGCCCCACCCGGGTACGCATGTGAGCCTCGCGAAGGCATCGCGCACAGGATCGCTCCCCCCCTGTGGTCGTGGCTCTGTGGGTGCCTGTGCACCCCCCCTCCCTCCCCCTGTGGGTGTGGGGTGGCTCGTCGTCGTCGTCGTCGTCGTCGTCGTCGTCGTCGCCACCGCCGCTGCCGCCGTCGTCGTCGTCCACGTCGTCGTCGTCGTCGTCGTCGTCGTCGCCGTCGTCGTCGTCGTCGTCGTCGTCGTCATCGTGGTCGTCGGCGTCGGCGTCAGCGTCGGCGTCAGCGTCGGCGTTGTCGTCGTGGTCGTCCCCCGCCCCTTCATCCCATCGGGCGGGGGACGGACGGACGGACGGACACCACGTCGAGCAAGGCTCGGCCCCGGAAGGCTGGGTGGTCAGCGCCGCAGCGCTCAGTCGTCGTACAAGCAGAATGTAGCTTCCAAATCATGCCATGCTGCAGAGTCTGAAGCAACATCTCTCCAAGTATTGGGTGAAACTTCGATACCTTTGCTGTTCAGGAAGGCGACGATATCATCGGTCCATCGTTTGACGGGTCTGTGTGCCTGTCTGCCACGTGAAGCTGCGTCCCGTTCTGCGTCCCAACTGTCGATCTTCCACATCCACCTGATACTGTCTGCAGTGGCCACTCGCTGCGCCCACCTCCAGACCCGCTTTCTCCATGCAACCATCCAGCTGTCAATGCGGCTCTTGCGCATCTGACGTTCGACGGTTTGTGTTGTTCTGCGCACCCATGAAACCCATGACTCCAACTCACAGTCGCCATTGCTGGTGTCATCTGGGCTGGGTTCCACCTCAGAACTGCCACTGTCAGCTTCGATGTCTCTGCGTTCTTCTACCCGCCTTCCTGCCCCCAGAATCATTCGCAACATTTTTCGCTGTGTCCTTTGCAGCTTCTGTTGCTCCGGTCGTGACAAAGTCCAAGATGCAGAGCCATACAATACTGTCGGTGTAACAATGCTGTCAAAGAGTCGTAACCTTGATGCCAAAGAGTACGTTTTGCATGTAAGCTCGGATTTGTTAGCCATGAAAGCTTTCCACGCCTGGCGGATGCGGAAATCAAGTTCTGCTCCGGAATTTCTTGTAGATCCCAGCTGTCTTCCCGGCGGGGGGCCTGTGGAAACCTGGGGCCCATCCCATCTGCGGGGGGGGCCTCTGAACCCTCGACCCGAGATCATATATGATCCAGGGTTGCCCCCGCAATGCATATGGGATCGAGCACCCCCCCCTCCCGCTGGATGGGTAAGCCCGTGAGCCTCGCGAAAGCCTGACGAATGGGATCGCTTCCCCTCACCCCCGCGGTCGTGGCCCTATAGGCGTGGCTTGGTGGAGGGTGCTGGTGCTCCCCCCCTTTTTGGGTGTGGGGTGCGTCGTCGTCGTCGTCGTCGTCGCCGTCCGTCGTCGACGTCGTCGTCGTCATCGCCGTCGACGTCCGTCGTCGTCGACGTCGTCGTCGACGTCGTCGACGTCGTCGTTGACGTCGTCATCGCCGTCGACGTCCGTCGACGTCGTCGTCGTCGTCGTCGTCCACGTCGTCGGCATCGGCGTCGTCGTCGTCGGCGTCGGCGTCAACGTCTGCGTCGTCGTCATCGCCGTCGACGTCCGTCGTTGTCGTCGTCGTCGTCGCCGTCCGTCGTCGTCGTCGTCGTCAACGTCCACGTCGTCGTCGTCGTCCACGTCGTCGCCGTCGGCGTCGTCGTCGGCGGCGGTGGCGGTAGCGGCGGCGGCGGCGGTGGCGGTGGCGGCGGCGGCGTTGTGCCCCCCTATACCATCTGGGGGAAGGGAGGGAAGCTGTGGAACCCTGGGGCCCATCCCATGTGGGGAAAACTGTGAACCCTCGACCTGGGATCACATATGCCTGTTCCCTCGAATTTCGCGGGGCCTATGCCCACCCAGGAGGGTGGGCTGGTGGGGCTGGGAAACCATGGCCCAATGGAGATAGCAAATCATAGCCAGAGGCGTGTGCGCGGACGAGGGGGGGACCAGGAGACGTACTGAAATCAGAAGAGAGGGCCATGACATCCGGGGAGATATCATGGCCCCCATGATATGCCCCCCACTAGTCATCACCCTCCTTTTGGCCGCACCCGAACACCGCGCCAAGGGGCGATGCACCTCTGGCGCCGGGGCCCCACCGCCGCGACCGCACCGCCGATGCACCAGAAGTGCGACGCGATCCTCCGACCTCCGCCTCCGGAGCCCACCTGCGATACCCGGACCCACGGAGGACGACGACCAGCGCCGGCGGCGGCGACGACGGGAGGGGCTCAACGTATACACCACGTCGTGCTGTCGTGTGGTCGGCCCTGTCGTTTGGTCGGCCCAGGAGCTCGGTATGTAGACGCCCCAGCTGCCCAACCTGTGGGACGCCAGCGCGCCCATACAGCGCCGTTTCTCGCCGAGCTCCTTGGCTCTCTGGCTGGCCGGGCGACGTGGTGCACCCAGGGCTTCACAACCAACATGATCGACCCACGAACCCAGAAAGGAATATAGGAATGTAACGCATGGCAACGGTTTCAAAGACACCTGATTGGGTGACGGGCAAATGCAATGCTGAGTGCATCGATCTTGATGTACCCTGCCGAGGTCTGTGCTGTGCTGCACCGTGCTGAATGGCGATGTGCTATGCCGCGATTGTGCTCTATAGCGTTGTGGAGCGAGTCCTCGAACTGATATGGATCTTAAGCTCGAGCTGCCTGAACACATAGTAGCTGCCCCAGACCTAATGGACAGGGGGACATGCCAGGAGGACGCGCCGCGGAACGTCCCAAGGGACGCGCCAGGCGACGTGCCAGGGGACGTGCCATGGGGTCGCACCGCGGGACGTGCCAAGGGGACGCGCTACGGAACGTGCCAACGGATGTGCCAAGGGACGTGCCAGGGGACGCGCCACGCGACGTGCCAGGGGGACTTCCAAAGGGACGCCCCACGGAACGTGCCAAGGAACGTGCCAGGTTGCAATGTTGAGTGTGTCGATCTTGATGTACCGTGCCGAAGTCTGTGCTGTGCTGCGCCGTGCTGAATTGCGATGTGCCATGCCGCGATTGTGCTTTATAGCGTTGTGGATCGAGTCCTCCTTTGCATCCGAGTCCTGACCGAACTGATCTGGATCTTAAGCTCGAGCTGCCTGAACACATAGTAGCTGCCCCAGAGCTAATGGACAGGGGGACATGCCAGGAGGACGCGCCGCGGAACGTCCCAAGGGACGCGCCAGGCGACGTGCCAGGGGACGTGCCATGGGGTCGCACCGCGGGACGTGCCAAGGGGACGCGCTACGGAACGTGCTGGGGACAAGCGTTTCGTTCGAGACATCCTGTCAAAATCATCATGCTAGACATCCGCCTGAGCGACCTGGACACGTGAAAACAAGTGTTTCGCTCAACACATCCTCAACACATTCTCATGCTAGACATCCACCTGGGCGAACTGGACACGTGAAAACAAGTGGTTCGCTCGAGACATCCTCAACACATCCTCATGCTAGACATCCGCCTGGGCGACGAGGACGAGTGAAACCAAGCGTCTCGTGAAAACAAGCATTTCACTTCAGAGATCCTCTGAATTCTGGTCCCCAGGAGAGGACAATCTATAACACAAAACAAGCGCTTCGCTCGAGACATCCTCAACAAATTCTGAAAATAAGCGTTTCGCTAGGGGCATCCTCAAATCTTAATTCACTGGCCCACCTCGACCTCGATATTTACCGCAAAAGAAATTCGGCGGCCCACCTCAATTCAAACCCGGGGGTAAACCATCTAAACGAGAACCCTGGGCTTAAGCCCTTTCCGGGAAAAGTGGGTAGTCTGATGGGGGGGGGTCTGACTTGCGCTGTCTTGGAGGCTCTCGGGGGTCTGGGCAGAAGGCCACCCTTCCACGACTGGCCTGGGGGCCCTGAAGCGGCTCGTCTGGGGAAGCTTTTCATGAGATCTGGAGCGTGCATCGAGCCCCTCCGAGACGGCACGGCGCGCGGCGGGCGGCGCGGCGAGCAGGAGGGAGGAGAGCCGTTCCTCGGGCGCCCAGGCCTCCACCGTGAACGGGCCCCAGCCCTGGCAGGCCACCCAGCCGAGCCCTGGCGCCGCGCCAGCTTCCCAGAGCTCCGACGTCGTGACTGCTCACTTGCGCGTGCAGCAGCACAGCACCAGGAACCGAACCATTATCATCCTCCTCCTCATCATCAGCATCAGCATCAGCATCATCATCAGCATCACCACCACCAGCATCATCATCACCATCATCGTCAGCGCCATCATCAGTATCATCCGCACCATCAGCATCGTTATCGCCATCGTCGTCGCCGGCGTCGCCGACGGACTAATCGTCCTCCAGTTACGGCTCAATCAAAACCGTCATCACCATCATCATTCCCAGCACCATCACCATCATCACCATCATCATCACCATCATCATCACCACCATCAGCATCAGCAGCATCATCATCATCAGCATCATCGTCATCGTCGTCGTTTACGTGATCATC